CCTGGTCCTTCCCAGCTGCATGGGTTCCTCCCGTGGCGCTGTTCCTGGAGTTGCAGAATCCGGCGGAATCCGTGAAGAAGAATTCCCAGGAAAACGCCCCTGGTGACTTGGAGGTCTAGGTGTGGCTCGACGCCTCCCTCTCCCTCTCTCTGAGACGATTATCCACTCGAGTAGCCATGGAAATTAATGTTTCCAGGTCTTGAGGCAATTCCAACGGAGCCAGGCAATCCTTTATGGGATCTGACAGTCCGTTCATGAACGCATCTATCAATGCGGGAGTGTTCCAGCCACTGTCCGAGGCTGCGGTCCGAAATGTTATGGCATAATCTATGACAGGGTAGGAGTGCTGATTTATCTGCATAAGAGTCCGGGTGGCCTCCCTGGAGGTTGAGGTCTGATCGAACACCCGGCTCATTGTGTCGTAAAAAGCGGAATACGACCTGCATATGGGAGAGTCTCGAGCCCATTCAGCCGTGGCCCATGCTGCGGCTCTGCCGGTGAGGTGGGAGACCATGAAGGCGACCTTGGCTTCTTCGGAAACAAACGCTGCTGGATTGTGTTTCTAATGTAGATCACACTGGACCAGGAACGTTCTGCAGTTTCCAGACTCCCGGAAAACCTCTCTGGTGATGCCAACCGAAGTGGAACAAATGCTGAGCGAACCTCGGCCTGGCCAGCTGCAGGATCGACGGGAGGTGGCGCCGTCGGCACATCTGGAATCTCTAGACGGGTGAGGATCTGTTGAAGCTGTGTCGCCAGCTGATTGTTAGCTGCTCTTGATGCTGGTGAATTAAACTGCCTTGGGCAAACAAAGCAGTCTGGAGCGCTTTTGGGTCGGCTGGGTCCATTTTTGGTAAGTTTGTTCTGTCAGGACCTCGACACAAACTGATGAACCCAAATGCACGACCCAGAGACAAAGTCTTGAATGTAATAAAAAAGTGTATTTATTTTAACAGATCAGGTAATCCCTCTTAACAGAGTAGGTAGTGGAAATAACAAAAAGCGCTCACAAGGAGGAAAAAACTAGCGTAACAAAAAGAGGACTCAATAAAAAAAGTCCATGAAGGGATAATGTGTGAGTGGATGGGAATGTCGAACAATATTGGACTTTCATCCAGGAGTTTGAGTCTAATACTCAAAGTCCACATTGACTTATTTTAATGTACATCCAAAATGGGGAAAAAAGTAAATGCATATGGGTTTCAGACAACTTTATTACATGGATCACGTACGAATGGATTTTGTAAGTCGATTAGATCACGTATAAATTGTGAGTAACATGTAGTTAGATTGAATGGGTTGCAATTGAATTGATGACAAAGGTTACATATGAGTTAATTACATAGGTAGCTTAACATTTTATTTAGTGGGATAGATACAAATTTAATTATTTGGGTACACATTTTCAACACAGGTTACACAAATTCATTACATGTGTTGTGTACGAATTGATTATGTGGTTTACGTACACGTTATTTACATTAGTTACAGATAAAATACGTTTTTTTTGCTTCTCTCAAAAACAAGATGCAGTTATAGTTACATACACTTTTAGTTTAAAACAACAACCATTTCTGTTTTCAGAGTTTGGTGCACTTTACGTAAACGCCTCTTGCTGAGTTTAATGGCTGTTACTGCAATTGTCATTCCTAATCAATCCAGCCTCTATATTTGTCACACATATTCAATTTATTTCCTCAGTCTTACTTGTCAGACACTCGGGTCTCATTGGACACCTGCCGTCAGTTTTCTGCTGCGGGACTCAGAGGCTGCTGTGGGGATAAATTATGTCAGACTGATTCAGGAAACAAAAAAAGATTGATGTGGGTTTCCATTAACATCAGGAATCATTGGTGGAGTCAGCACAGTTTAACCATGAAGACTCCCTAGAAACAAAGAGGAGACGATAAATTGTCAGATCAACACAAAGTGATTGCTTATGTGTCTGCCAGCTTGATTCTGAGCTCCAAAGCACAATACTAAATGTAATGTTCTGTCCCTAGGGGTCTCTGTATTAAAACTATACCATACAACTCAATTTTTAGTGTACATATCTATTTATATTACTGCTTAGTCTTTAAACTTGAATTTTGCAATCTTTGTATAACCGTGGATTGACCGCTTTTTGAATACAATTTATTAATTTCATAAAAAAGGACCAATAATCCCAACCTCTGTAGACTGTAGATTGACTCTCTAACACAGTGGTTCTCAAACTTCTTCTGTCATTCCCCACTTTGAACATGTGGGCCTTTTCAAGCCCCACCTGTTCCTCATCGCTCTAATAAAATGGTAGGCCAAGCTTACAATTGTCAAATGTATCGTTCTATAACAGGGGTCTCCAACCTTTTTTAGGATGAGAGCTGCTTTCAAAAAATAAACAAGTCGTGAGCTACTTTTACTCCTCTTTTTTGTTTTTTGCAGTGTATATATTTAGCACATTTTAACATTATTATATGCTCACCTTTAACCTTTGTGTGCTGTTTGGGTCTGTGGGACCCGTTTTCAGTGTTTACTAAAAGAACATGTATTCAATTTAATTATTTTAACCTGCTTTATTTGGGGGTAGACCTCACCTAGGGGGGGTCCGGGGGCTTGCACCCCCGGGAAGATGTATTTTTAAATGTTGAAGTGAAATGCATCAATCTGGTGCACTTTGAGCACAACATGAATTTATGGATACAGCTCTCAACACTCGTATGAAAGAGAGCTGTATACTTTTCAATAATCCAAACATCTTTAGAATAACAAATCATTTAAACTTGTTTATTCTTATCTTATGTTACCTAGTTAGCATTCTTTCTTTTATTTTATTTTTTTACTGTCCTATAGTACACATTGGAATGATTTCTTACTGTATTTGTTACAACTAGGCTATATTAAATAGATAAAGGTGTGCTCTCTCTAGCTCTCTCTCTCTCTCTGTCTCGCTCGCTCACAGAGGCTGTGTGCTCCTCCGTGGCGATGACGGCTTGTGTTAAAAAATAATAATAAACATAGACCTATTTGTAAAGTGGGGGGACACAAACGGGATTTCGAAAAGTGCCACGGTTAAACTCCTTATGAAGTGGTGAGGTGCCGCTCCACATTGCTTTTCTTCCCGACTGCAACGCTGTGTGTGTGTGTGTGTGTGTGTGTGTGTGTGTGTGTGTGTGTGTGTGTGTGTGTGTGTGTGTGTGTGTGTGTGTGTGTGTGAGGCTGAGCGTTTCACATGTGTGTATGAGAGATGTTTACATATGTCTGTAAATTATTTTGGTTTCAGTTGTGTGTGTGTGAGCAGGCTCGGATTGGCCATCGGGAGATTCGGGACTTTTCCCGGTGGGCCGCTATAATCTCCCGTTCTTCACGTCCATTCGCGACCCACCTATCACATCTCCGCCCCACACTTTGAGAAACGCTGCTCTAACAGAAGATAAAACATGCAAATACTAAAAGTGAGACAACAAGGACAATCTGTTATTTTCTCCAAGTATGGGTCTCGGAGAGAAATCAATTTGTAAATCTAGAGTTTAGGGTAGTGGTGGAGCAGTGTGGGATCATGGAGGGTTCAACAGTCAGCTTCTCCCAATTAGGATTAAGGAGGAGTACTCCCGGACACCTAGCATGTGAAAATGTTTGCGAAAAACGTGTGTGAAGTGTCCAAAAACTGAGCTATGGCTGTGAATCTGGACGTCAGGACAGTGTTCAAATCTGGATCAGTTTTAATCAGATCCGTTGCAGCCCCTTTTTTATAGATTTAGGTATGGAGGAAAATAGAGAGGGTTGTGTTTTCTGACACTTGGTGAGTTCCCTGGAACACCGGGGACACATATTCATGTATAAAAGACGTACAAAAGTGCATTTTGCATGATAGGTCCCCTTTAAAGTAATACAAAGTCAAACAACACAACGTCACATGTTCTTGGAATGCTAGCTCGCCGTCAACTCTCATCTGTAGTATAAATGGAACCATGTGCACGTTCAGGTAATAAGGTTTACACACACCAGACGTAAAGCACATTTTTTTGTGCAGCGCAATTAAATATGAAGTAGTTATTACCTTAAACATTTTGATATGTTGTCACAAAAAGTGATGGTAAAATAACTAAGAAAATAATAGATGGTAGATAGAAAATAGAAAGAAAAGATGACTTGAGCTGCACAAATAGATTTAAGTGCTTTGTTTTAACCAACAATTGTGCAAAAAAACAAAATCACTTGGATGTCCACACCAAAAACAGAAAGAAAAAATATAGATATATACAGCTAGCTAAAACAAAGTTTCTCGGGTCTCTTGTCTGCTATACAGCCGTCGTCAGACTGCAGTGGGGTTTTGAACCTGTGCTCCCCTGATCCCAACACCAACACACTAGTCCACTGCGCCACACGCCTCCCTAAATCTGTTAAGGAGAGGAATATTAGGTTACTCTGGTACTTTGGAAACCATTTTGATGTTAAGTATGATTCAAATATAAGCTATCTTAAACTTTAAAATGAATTTGAGCGATTATTTCACAAAATTGTAGTGGTTGCACTCACCACAATTACTACAGGCATTAATGTGTGTTTGAAAGTATTGTACTCAGTGTGTGCATTTCACCATGTGCCATAAGCAAAATAGTGACAATGTCTTCATCACATGTAATTAAAAACAAAGCAAAATGTGTTATTTGGGGTTCATACCGCTCTGGAAAACAAGATTGATTCAGCTGACTTGCTGAGATTAAACAAATGTGTTCGGTTTCCAGTTGAAGTAGGATTTTTGGCCATGGTTGATGAAACATTGTTGGTATCTACATCTCTTCTCCGGCACAACTGTGTGACAAGTGAGTGAAGTGGTACAAAGGGAAAATTAGTTTTGCAACTGGCGGGAACACATCCATTAAATGTTTACATACTCATCAAAGCAATACCTCTCTTTATATTGTCTTCAGCTGATGAAGTTCATGTCAGATGATAGAAAGCCACTAAATTGACCTGGTGGTGACACATTGGGTAAACTTGTGTTTGTTTACCTTTAGACTCTATGACGTTGCGGAGAGGAAAGAAGCTCAGCATCTCCATCCAGGAACACATGGCCATCGACGTTTGCCCCGGCCCCATCAGACCCATCCGTCAGATCTCCGCCTACTTTCCCCGCCTGTCCCCCACCTCCCCCGGCCCCCTGTCCCCGAACCCCCCCACCTCCCCCCTGACCCTCAGCCCTGGCTCTGTGGCCTCGGGGATGGGCGGGACCCACCTGCTGTCCCCCCTGCTGGCCCATGGCCGGCCTGGGGGGGGCTGCTCTCTGTCGCTGACCAGCAGCGTGGACACGTCGGTGGAGATAAACAGCGACGACAGCGACGACTGCAGTGAGTTTGTGTGTGTGTGTGTGTGTGTGTGTGTGTGTGTGTGTGTGTGTGTGTGTGTGTGTGTGTGTGTGTGTGTGTGTGTGTGTGTGTGTGTGTGTGTGTGTGTGTGTGTGTGTGTGTGTGTGTGTGTGTGTGTGTGTGGTGTGTGTGTGGCTGGCTCTGCATCTAAACACACTTCGCATCTTATGCATGACTCAGCATGTCTTCATACTAGACTTACAGGAATGTTGTAAAGCAACTCTTTAAAATCTCTCTTAAGCCTGTGTTAACCACATACCTTATTTTATGGTAATAACCAAAAATCCATAAAAAAAACGAATTGACTTCGAGACAAAAGAACAGCTAGCGCTAAAATGCTGACTCATTTCAGGGTTTTAGGGTTAGGCTCTTTTCACATGAATGCAACTGGGTTACATATTTTGGTTTAGCACTAGCAGCATTCTAAGCAAGTATTCATATTTTGTGAACATTTACAGCTACACTACACAGTTCTAAAACATTAGAACCAACATTCATTAATGCAATGCAGGACCGCCCCAAATCAGGCTAAAGATAACATGACGGGTGGTGTTTATTCTCCAGTAAGTGCTGTTGAACTCCTGCAGAAGTAGAAGTAATGAGATATAAAAACATTTTTCACAAAAAAAACGTTAATTAATTAATTGTGACAGCCCTATAGAGTGGTGCAGTGATGACATATTTGTGTAGGTCGAACGGAAGTAAGCATTGCAATGGCTCCATAGACAAGAATCACAGGGATATCCCCAGAAAATAAACTGGTGGACACATGTTTATGATACTTACACATTTTGTTGAGCAGGATAATCGCCACATTTACACCAATTTGGAATTTAGACGATAAACAAACTACAGCGCGGTCACTTAATCACTGCTAAGTTTAAGGCAGCTAATGTTTGGCTGGATGACGTTTAGACATTTCAATTAGTCATTTGTGAGACGCAGAGGTGGGAGAAGTATTCAGATCTTGTACTTGATTAAGAGTAGAAGTACCAGAGTGTAGGAATACTCTGTTAGAAGTAAAATGTTTCAAAGTAGTTCAAAATGTTACTCAAGTAAAAGTACAAAAGTATTGGCATCAAAATGTACTTAAAGTACCAAAAGTAAGTTGTTAAAGTTTATGACGTTCACCAAAGAAATAACACTTCAGCTCTAAAACAGAAGTACCATCACAAAATTATGCAATGCGGAAGCGGCCTGTATAATGCTAAACATTTAGATGAATAGTTGCGCTTGTTGTCACGGCTATTAACCCTGCAAAGGTGGAGGTGATTAAATGATATTGTTATTTTGTCTGCTATTGTGGCAGCTCTAACTAAACTTAAAAAATATATTGAAATTAAAAACCATTTAGACACAATTTATTTTAACATAAATTGAATATACAACATTTTGAATATTACATTTTCTCTTTAAATAGTTCTAAAATTGGACAGAGTTTGGTTTGTCTCCCACGAAAAAGGGATATGCTGTTCTTTGAATAAGAACATAAATGCAAAGCGTGAGATACATTTAAAAAACAGCCAACTGCTCCACCATTACGCCAATCACCATGTGGAGGTTCTATTGGCCGGTTGGTTTTTAATCTCAGAGGATGGAACGATGCTGCAGTGGGATCGATAAAGAAAAACAAGAGTCCAATTTATCTGACCAGCGTGGACACAAACAACCCCAGACTTCAGCTCAGGGAAACAACTCATGAATAACACATGCCTTTAAGTCCAAATAGCATGAATAATGCTCACAAGCACACATGTGTTTCAGTGGGAATACCTCCACACCTGGGGGGGGGGGGGGTCACAGTAAGACGAGGCAACAGATAACATGATGCCTGCTGCAGAGACTCTGGAGTTACAGCAGTGTCTTTGTGAATGACTGAAGTCCAGCAGGGAGCAAATCACTCCTTCTGTCTCTCTTTGTCAAGCTGCTCCAGAATCTCAATCACATGGAGTCCAGATATGTGATTGAGATCCACTAATTAAATAAATAATGGATTTATTTCTTTAATCACAGGCATTCATTATCAGATTAGTTCTGCAGTCGCTGATACACACACGACAAGACAAATATACTCGATTTTGAGTTTTACACTGTAGGAGAAAGACTCCCAAATAAATGCGTGTGTTTTGCGGCTCTGTTGTGATTGCCTCTTGGTTGTTTTCCGTCTCTTTGTGTTTTTTGTGGGGGTTTTTGGCATCTTTTCCTGGTCGTTTTTTGTCTGTTATTAGTCGTTTTGTGTCACTTTGTAGTCATTGTGTGTCTCTGAGGTCATTTTGTGTCTACTTGGTGGTTTTGTTCCTCTTTGTAGTCACATCCTTGCTGCTGTTTTGCATCGTTCTGTCTCTTTGTGTCGTATTGCTTTCGTTTTTCAGCTTGTTGTTGTTTTTATAATAATGTTCATCAGAATTTGACAGTCAGTCATATTACTGGAACTAGTTGATCAAATCAAATACACTAGCAAAGAAAAAAAGATCTTTTCTTTTTATTAGTTTGAGTCCTTGGTGCAGATATGATTCCTTTAGATTTCCTCTGCAGTCTCAGATGTGATCACTCCGTGTGGTGCAGCGCTGCGTTTGTTGGTGCATGATGTTTTTACAGCAGATCCAGGCTGTTAGTGTAGGTGGGAGGAATTAGGAACATAAGCATGCAGTGGAAAGTGCACTCACAGCTTTTTGTATCCCATTTTGTGTAGAGCACTGCAGTGGAGTCAGCAGAGGGAAGCAGCTTTATCTCTTATTGCTGCTGTTAGATGAAAATCAGACGTCTGAAATGCATTCTTATCTGCAAAGCACTATCATTAGCATGATCACTTACACTACACGTCTAATAGTAGTACGTGAATACTGTCTGCAGTGAGGGGGAGGATATTTGACATCTACTGTCAATACACACATTTCGTTTTTTGTAATTTTCTCTTTGCCTTTGGTTAGATATAAAGTCATACAATAAAACACCCTAATACAAGCATAGACACAATCAAACTGTCTCCGAAAGAACAAAATGGCAATTAAGATCAACAGCAGGGACATCAAATATGCATGCTGTATAAATCCAGCGTCCCACTTTATCTTTAATTCAACAAACAGTCTGATCTGGTGAGTCACAGCAGCATCCACAAGTGACGTGGAGATGTAATGTAATAGTGGTATAACGCTTCATATAGAGGGATAACAAGTACATAAACAAATCAACTTGAACTGATGATTAAGTGAATGCATTTAGTAATGAGATTAGTTAGTGTTTTCAGTAAGTATGCCCCAGATAATGCTGCAGCTCTTTTTAGTAGTTTTGTGTCTGTTGACTGTTGTGTGGCCATTTTGTTTGTGTTTTCTTTGCTGCTGATTTCTGTAAATGTGCCCTCTGTGTCACTTTGTAGTTGTTTTTGGTCTTTGTGGTGTTTCCTGTGTGTCTCTTTGGTATGTGTTATTGATGGACATTTATTTGTAGTCACTTATCCTATGCAACAAAAATGTAAGAAAAGGACCTCACTAGTGTAATTAAGAAAAAGCTACTCAAGTTAATCCAACGTTTCTTTTCAGATGGAGACACACAAATGACTACAAATGTCTTTTGTCTTTGTCTCAGTCACTCAGTAGCAAAGTATTTCATAACGTTCTGGATGTTTCCGATGCTGGGGGTTTTGCCTTTCTTTGTACATGTTTTGCATCTCTTTTTGTGTGTTTCTTTGGTTGTTTTATGTCTTTTTCTTTTCTTTTTGTAGTTCCTTTGCATCTCATTGGCATCTCTTGTGCCTTTTTTTTGTGTCTGTAGTTATTTATGTAAATGGTATGCATTTTATAAAGCGCTTTATCCAGTCTTTGCGATTCCTTAATGCACTTTACACTTGGGGTTACTTGGGGTTAGATGTCTTGTCCAAGGATACATCGACGTGTTGACTTCAGGGGCTTGTGTCTCTTTGTAGTCATTGTGCTTCCCTTTAGTTTAGGCCTTTACACAAAAGTCTTCTTTATTATCTTATTTTTTTCACATATTTTTTCCACACTGTCTTATTGGCAAGAATACTTTCCCGTAGAATAAAAAACATGTTAACATAAATGACAATTTCCGGAGTTTCACAGCCCTTTGTGGTCATTTTGCCTGAATTTGTGTTGCGTCTCTGTGGTCACTTGAAGGACTCTCCAACCAGAAGTGAAACAGTCCCTTCAGATGCTTCTGGCCCTTTCTCATTTATCTAATTCCCCTCCTCGACCCCTATCCTCGTGTCTTAGTATTTTATTATGTGAAGCACTAAATGGTTTTAGAAAAATATCGACTCTTTGTTTGTAGATATCTACTAAACTAAAGCAAATAAAGAGAGTAGGCCTGTTATATATATGATGTGATATATATTATACACACTGCTCTGCTTTCTGCACGGACCTCACAGCTGTTCTCTCTGTAAACATCGCGTTGCGATGAAAGCAGTTAATAAAATAATATCCAGGGGATGCATGCAGAGCTGTCATTGGCTGAGATAAGTCCGGCCGTGCGTCACGACTCTTTTAAACATCACTGTTGCTGGAAATACATCCGTGGAGCATCCGCGGACTGGCGCGGAGGACCCATCAGTGTATCCTCGTTTATAGCTCCTCCAGAGAGCCTCCTCGACGCTCGATCCTCGGTCCTCGAAGTGCATTTAGAGAAATGAGATGTCCTTCAACATGGCGCTCTGAAATCCAGGTCACTACCGGAGGGCCGAGGATTCGAGGAGTCGAGGAGGAGAAATGAGTGAAATGAGAAAGGGCCTCTGTGTAGGATAAACAGAATCTGAACAGGAAGTGGGCGAGCCTCCAGGTTGACAAACACACCGCAGTGTAAAGAAGATTATAGTTTAGCATAAGAATACAATGTGTTGAGTAAGCAGAGGTTTGTTGGTTTTATGAGAGCTGATGCCTAAAATAAATGTTTTAATCCCTGTGAATCACATCCTGTATGTGCGCTCTTATATAATCCACTGGAAGAACACCAGGTTGTGTTTGATGTATGAGTTTATACATTTACACACAGTTTGTGTGCATGTATGTAAGGCGCCCTGACACATGTGTTTCTTCTTAGAGGATTTTCCGTGTTGACATGTGATGTGTTGTGTTCAGATCCATGTGGCAGCTGCTCCATTAAATTGGAATTCTCTGTTCCTGCTTTGATTTTATTCCGACTGATTTTTCATATCTTTCTTCTGATGCAATGCTTTTTTCCTTTAATGAGTTCTGTCCTTCCTTTGTTTTTCCTCCTCAGCCGCTCTGGGAACGCTGGAGTTTGAGCTGAGGTACGAGCAGAGGTCCAGTGAGCTGCACTGCAGGCTGCTGCGCGCCAAGGTAACACTCTGAAGAGATGAGTGAAAACTGCTTCTGTGAGCAGGGATGTAGGTTGAGCTGCAGAGTGGTTTGTAAACCTTGTTTTCCAAGTGGTCTGGAGTTCCTCCATTGGACATTTTTTATTGCATTTCCCGCAATCGTGCACAAAATACTGTGACTGTATAGTTGATAAAAAACACAAAAGGGAAAATGATTCGATAGTCTCAGCATTTTACATTTTAAAAGTGTTTGTTAGAAAAATATCACTCATCACCGGCAAATCAGGATATATGTATTTATTATCCTCTCAAGAATGGAAGTAGTCATCACATACAGAGCATTTGGTACAACTAGTTCCTGAAAACAGTGTCCTTCACATGCTGATATACATATGTTTATATACAAGAGAGGGAGTTACACGGTCACAAGACGGAGGACTACCGGTTCAAAGCAGTATACAATGTTTAGTTCAGATTAGCTCCACGTCAGAAATGATCATGCTTGTCATATGTCTATCTCCATAGAGGCTGAATCATCATGTTAATCACATAGCTATGATATGCCTAAAACAGTCCTGATGCTCTTCTAGGTAATCATACATCCTGTCATGTTCACAGCTACAGTTGGGATACCTTTGTTATCATGTGTACTCTGATATCGGATGAGTACATTCAGAATTTCCCCAACAGCACGGTTTTACATCTAATTTTGAAAGTGTAACGGATATAAGTAATACAGGTGATCTGGAGTCGCTCACTGAGAATATTTTGCCTTTTTAATGCATTTCCTGCAAGTCTTCACAATATGCTATCACTATAGTGGCATATTCATTATTCCCCATAATTACTTTGAATCTTGTGCTTTATACTTGCTATCATTGTGGCATAAGCCGTTTCCTACTTTACTGCCGTATTTTTCACTATAGTCCATCTTCCTTTTCTGATATTACAACTTGTGTAGCCTATATATTAATGACACATGACAGCTGGTATAAAAGAAAACAATTAAAAACTATAAAAAAACAGAAAAAGCTTACTCCGCTGAAGCCTATAGTCTGCTGCCAATAGTGAACAATTGGATAGAAAACGTGTGGTTAAAAATAAACATGTTACAAGTATGCCTGGTTAAATCTGCATGACGTTTATAAATACATGTGTGGTCGCATTCGTAGTCACTTTGCGTTCTTGGCGCTCCTGCTTCTGTAATAACTTTCTACTCTGACAACTTTCCATTAACTGTTATTGCTAGGTTTATCTTGCCCTAGCCTCTGGACTAAGCCTTCCCACGACTCTTGGTTCCTGGTTCTGTCCAGAAGTAGATAGTTGGGACCGCAGTTAGTTGGACCACATTTTTGGGCCAAGTGCTATTGCCCCTGCAGCTAAATCATGAGAACTGGTCTGCATTCGGGGATTGGATCCAAACCAGTCCAAGAACCACCTCTGTGGAAAAGGGGCTTTGTAGAGCAGGTGCAAATGATATCTTATACAATGCTAACACACATGAAGTTAATATTACATTTCAGGAGGGGGGTGACATTTTTAGGTATTTTTTAAGTGGTAGGGACGGATCCCCTATCTTTCCTACCGTATATCATGGCCATAGTTCAACAGCCTTGATCTGTACATGTACCAACTACCTAATGTTTATACATAAAGTAGATCTGAAATGAAAACACATACAAAATCAATTATTAAATTATGTGACACCACCGTCCACAAATTAAGCATTTCTTCTTTCATTGTGACATATTAAACATATGTTCTGCTGTTTGCCCTAACGATTGCTTGGTCGCATGGCTCCTAAGATTAGCATTCACGAGAAAACCGTAGTTATGATCCACTACGTATTCTCAGGTCCAGGTATTTGTTTAACTGACATTTCATTTTACTTTTTTCAAATCATTATGCTCATCCGATTTTATATACTGCACGTGTTTTGATCAGCATTTGCAATTTGTATCTCGTATTAGTCATGGACGAACATTTTGTTAACCAACATATTTATCTAGTCCCTAGTGTCTTAAAAGATACCTTATTAAGCCTCTCTGGACTTTAAATCTGTTGTCGATTTGCTAAAATACATGAACCGTGTGCACTCTAGTAAACCTCTAGTTGAATTCCTGTTTGTTTACCAAAGATGTGCGGAGTCGGATTCAACACATGAGAAAAGATAAGATCTTTCCATTGTTTTGGGATTTTTTTCCCCACTAGGTGGTGTTTTCTTTAACACCATACCTAACCCTCAAACCTGTCTTTGAGCCGGTCTTTAATCAGGCACCTCGCCTGAATCCCAATCCAGCTTTATTTGATTTTGCAGCTTCAAAACAAGCCTTTCCACCACAACAAGGTAATAACACTGGCACGAGAGTCATAATTCAGAGAAAACTGCACCACAGCCCGAATTTAAGTGTCAGAAACAATATAACTGAGCACTGTTAGGAGACAACAGGCTGCGCCACCATAAATCTGCAGCTTAGGGACAATTCTTCAGTGTGTGTGTGTGTATATGTGTGTGTGTGTCTGCTCCGTGGTGATGTCTGTACCATAAAATGGACACCTGCTCAGAAGCTCTGCTGTTTTTTATCCCACCTGCAGGAAAGCTCCCTCCACCTGCATAAGTACTGTCACATGATTTACAAGAATGAACGGTCTAACAGGGTACAATGCTGTTTTTTGGTTGAAACAACAGGATCTTATTATCAATTATTCTGCTTATGCCCTGAGACACTATCAGGATTTTATAAATATTTGACACTAGAACCTCCTTCAAACGTCACTAGGTGGAAGGGATATAAAGGAAATGTCATGTCTACCCATCTCTTATAATTTTCTAATCATAAATCTATCGATCATAAATCTATCTATTAGATTTATGATTAGAAAATTATAAAAGTAGGGTAGACATGTGGAGATTATCCGGCTGAACAAAACGTGATCCGTCTCTTAAATGTGTGTCAACCACAGACCTTATTTCAAGCTATTTTCCAAAATCCTATGGAGAAATTGCATTGCGTTTTTGTCGAAGGAACCGGAATAAGTTTCTTTCGGGTTTTAGGACGCGTCACTGCGGTTCTCTATGGAGAGAAAACGTTATTTAGCCATTCCAATGAAAAAAAACGTTATTTAGCCATTCCAGTGGAGAAAACGTGCCCTTTAGGGAGTCCTTCTTTTGATTGGGAAAACGCAATGCACTGCCATACATATACTGCTGCGCTACATGCTATTAAACCTTCTGTGAGCTAACGACCCATTCCCATGCAGCTGGTGTCATTATTTTTCCTGCCCCTCAAACAGCCTCAGTCCCCCACTGGTTTGACATGTAGAGCTTCACAGTGTATTAGAGAGGGTCCTGAACGAGAGTCGCATGTGACAATTATCTCATATCCTTTTCATGCTTTCGACACATGAACTTAAACAACTGACTGTTTTCTTGCTCTATATATATATATCCCTTTATGTGTAGTGTGTATGATTCTGTCTGTAGGTGTGTGTGAGAGGAGATAAAAGGGAACTGTGTGTTAGAGGTTGAAGGATTTATATGCACGATCCCATGTGGATTTAATCATGTCCTGCAGGGGAAGTGAACAGAGCACACACCATCTATAGTTTGTTTGTAGTGTGTTTCTTTGAGGATCCACATGGTGATTACACTATGTCTTTTACATTAGATTAGATGAACTTTATTGATGCCAAAATGGGGAAAACAGTAGGAAGATACATTAGAGTTTTTCTCAATAAAACAATATAAATGTAAAAAATAGGTAATAGACCAACAATTCAACAGACACTGGAATGGAATAACTGCCCTACATGTAGAAATTGAGTTTTAAGAAAAGTTTGGAGTGGTCTCTTAATTGTTTTTCAAGTGTGCAAAGTAGATCCAGTTTTTAATTCAAATCTGAATGGAGTGAGGGAGGGTACAATATGTGCAAAAACATCATGGTTAATGAAAGGGAAAAACAGAATGTAATCTGCAGTGTTACTGACACAAATACAATGAGACTCAGATGTTTTTTCTGCAGTTTATCACAAATGGAGTGCAATAGAGCCACATTACAGAAGTGATCCTCATTATCTGGGAGAACGGGAGATAATCTGAGCGCCCGCTGTCCCCGAGCTTTGCCTCCTTTGTCTCCTCCTGTGATTTCTTTATTTGAGGAGCTACTTACATGGTAATGATCTCCCTCTGTGTTATCGAGGGAAAATCGTAGTTTCAGACCCGAAGGGTGAGATTAGCTCCACCGCCTGCTGTGAGGAGAGATTTTGAACAGTTTATAAATGAAAGCTAATCTATTTTTCAGCTCAATATACTGATAATATAATGAGGAGACTTTCAAAGGATTTCATAGTTTCTTCCCCTGGGTCAATTTGTTGAAATATCTACACTTCATACAGTATACTGATCTTAATCTTCTTAATATGTGCACGTTTTCTTGACATTTATATTTCAATTATGGCTGTACGGTGGCCGACAGGTGCAAACAAGTGATGCACACAGCCTGGGACTGAAGTGTTTGATGTTCAGGGATTATAAAGTTGTCACTGTTTGCAGAGTTAGCCTGTTTCATAACTAATTGTTTTGTCAGTATATTTGAAATTAGTTAGCTTACAGCAGATCTGCAATAAAAGCAGAAGGAATCATGACAGTGACAGTTGGCCTCGAACACCAACTTTTTAGTGTCCCTCCCTATAACCAATGTGTTTTGAGTTCTTGCAAAAAAGATGTGCGGCGTTTTTGAATCCGCAAAACGTCTCTCCATATGGAAGTGTTTGGGGCCGTTATACTCATACACTGAACATTCAAAATTGTTTCCCTCAGTCGGGTGGGGTCAAAGGGTACAGATGACCGCGGCCCTAGGCCCATGGAGGCCCATTATGGTGATAATGCTACTCTGTTAACAACAAATCAGTGTTTAAATCGACAGCTAGTTACCGTTAGCTGTTAGCATAACAAACCAAGGTTGCATTGTGTAACATGAGTTCAAGCTCTGTTAAGTAAACAAATTGTATTGGGCGATGGTA